TTCTAATATGTATTTATAATATTTATAATATGTACATATAATATTTATAGTATATATGTATAATATTTATAATATATATTTATAATATTTATAGTATATATATAATATTTATAATATATATTTATAATATTTACAGTATATATGTATAATATTTATAGTATATATATATAATATTTATAGTATATATGTATAATATTTATAATATATAATATATACATTTATAATATATAATGTATATTTATAATCTTTACATAATATTTCAAATACGCGTTACCGATCCGACTCGATATTATGCGTCAAAGGGTTAAATGACGATCTGCACGCCCCATGTCGCGTAATTATCTTTATTTTCCAATTATCTCAGTTATCACTTTGCACGTATCTCCGCGACGATGAGACACGCTCGAGCGAGTTTCACGATTCGCTGCTTAATTAGAGAGGCTGCAGGAATTTTTGTCGGGCTCGTGGAAATCGCATTTATTTCGTCCGGCGAAACGACCGGCATCTCGTCTAATTCCATAGAACATTTGCGATTTAAGCGGATCCGCGTAATCTTCGGTCAAGCTAATTCGTTAAACGCGGCATTTAGCGCGCTCGAAGCTCGCGATTACGCCGCCTTACGTAAAGCGGCGGCCGCGAGAGAGAAAGAGAAAGAGAGAGAGACAGAGAGAGAGAGAGAGGGAGAGAGAGAGAGAGAGACGTACACTTCGTTTCTGAGAACGAAATTATCCTCGTTCTTTCGCCCGCTTTGAGCGTCGCCCAGCCTCGAGCGTTCCAATGGAAAAGCCTTCCACACAATGCTAATCTGCCTCGAGCCGATGGAAAATAGGGTCCTTGAAGACAAAAAAAAAGAGAAAAAGAAACGAAGGATCACGGTTTCGTCGACAATGCCCGGCGTAATGCGCGAAGATGTTTCCAGCTTGCGGAAGAGAGCAAGTCTCCGTCTTGCATCGCGAACGCGTACTCCCACGACGACGCGACATCGCGGCTGCTTCTCCGCTGCTTCTGAAACTGCTCGAGGCTGTCTCCTTTCGGATGCTCTAACTTCGACCAGACGCCCAGCCACGGTTTTCCGCGGATTCTAGCGACTCGGACGTCCAATCGGGCCGTGGCCTTAAAACGCGAGTGCTCGCGATTGTTTCGGGCTGGATTATTTCGTCGCCGGATGCGATTAATCTTTTCGCCGGAGTAAAATCTCGTGAATTCGTTTCCGCGAGAAACGGAAGTCATTAGTGGTGACATTACGGGAGATATTATTTTTTTTCTATCCGAATATTATTATTTTCTTCGCAATTTCAACCTCTAGGAGTTTTATTCCTTTAATTGTTTCCTTGATAGTTGAGGAAAATCGATGCTTATTATATGTTTAGATCGATTTTAATGCTCGAATATTGCCAGCAGAAATATGTATATTATTAAAATTCATATTATTATTATTATTATTATTATTATTAAAAAACAGATGGAGTAAAATCTCCTAAATTCGTTGCGAGGAGCGGAAGTCATTAGTGGTGATATTACAGAAGATATTATTTTTTTTCTATCCGAATATTATTATTTTCTTCGCAAATTCAACCTCTAGGAGTTTTATTCCTTTAATTGTTTCCTTGATAGTTAAGGAAAATCGATGCTTACTATATGGTTAGATCGATTTTAATGCTTGAATATTGCCAACAGAAATATTTATATTATTAAAATTCATATTATTATTATTATTAAAAGAACAGATGGAGTAAAATCTCCTAAATTCGTTGCGAATACCAGAAGTCATTAGAGATAACATTACAGAAGAAATTATTCTTTTTTGTATGAGAATATTATTATTTTCTTCGCACCTTCAACCCTTAGAAATTCTATTCCTTTAATTATTTCCTTAGTAGTTAAGAAAAATCCGTGCCCATTGTATGTTTACATCGATTTTAATGCTCGAATATTGCCAACAGAAATATTTATATTATTAAAATTCATATTATTATTATAATTAAAAGAACAGATGGGGTAAAATATCCTAAATACGTTGCGAAAACCAGAAGTCATTAGAGATAACATATTATAGAAGATATTTTCTTTTTGTATCAGAATATTATTATTTCCTTCGCACCTCCAACCCTTAGAAATTCTATTCCTTTAATTATTTCTCTAGTAGTTAAGAAAAATCCGTGCCCATTATATGTTTACATCGATTTTAATGCTCGAATATTCCCAATAGAAATATTCAAATTACACGTACAACGAAGACGTAATTAAAAATCTTCATAACGATTTTAACTCGTTATTACGCGTGACGAGATTAATTATTTTAATGGATCCTCCGCCGTCTTTACGGTCCGCCATTCCACGCGGTCGTTTTTTCTGACAAACGCATAAAATCCCCGGTGTAAATCCCGCACCGTAAACAGAGCCCACTTTTTTTCGGACTCCCGGCGTTCATTTTCCCCCGGTCCGTTTCCACCGTGAATTCGTTCAACATCCGGACATTTCTTACGCGCAGCTCTGCGCGCGCTCACAATCGCTTGTCGCAATCGTCGATCTTCACCTTTCCGATTCAAAACGTGATTGCCAGTTCGCGTGCTGTTCGACCGATTCTTCGAAACGGCCGGATCCGCGGATCCTCGCGCGAAACAGAAGTTTCGCCGCCCCCTTCGACGGCGCGAGAAATTCTGAGCGACGCGTCTCAGCCACGGCGGCAACACCCTTTCGCGGCCCGAACCCTCGAAATCCGCGGTCTATCGGATGTCGATCTCGACGGTGAATCGATCCGGCGGTTCGTTAGTTTGGCTGGTAGTACACGGTCGTTACAAGGATTCTATGGTCTTAGGCGAAGGCGAGCGGTAAGAAGCTGCAGAGAGTTTCTCTGGCTGTGAGTTTAAAGGGGATCAGGATGACAGACCTTGCCACGGAAGAAGATCAGCTTCAAGTGTCTATATACAGGTATGTACACGGGGGGGAGAGGGGGGCAAGAGTTTCACGGGGCCTCGCGGATATCGCCGCGGCGCGTACGTGTGCCGCACACACGAAGGGGATGTTCCCTGTTTTCGCGTAACGTGCTCGCGCGCGCGCGCGAACGCTCGTACGCACGGCGGCCGTCATGGTTTTCAAGCTGTAATCGTACGAAACCGGATTCGTCGGTTCGTGCCAGCCGCTCGTTGCGCATTTTCGCCCGCGTCAGCCAACATAATATCCGATATTCGGCGGACGGGGGAGGGTTGAAATGCATTCAGAAACGCGGCGTAATAACGCCCGACGAGCAAACGTTACACGATCGCGCCCCGGTCACGGAGTAATATTCCCTGTCCAATTTCGAAACCATGATTTATCGAGCCGGTGTATCGATGTCCGACGCGCTGTCCGACACGGAACCACCCTTTCCCCCGATCGAACGCCGTGCACTTCCTATTTTGGTTTTCGTTTATTTATTCTTTTTTCGTAAACGCTTTCGTCGCCGGGATGTTCGTCGGTGATTTCTTCTTTGGTATTGTTATTTTTGTTTACCCGTTTGGATCACGGAATATGATATATACAGTAATAATTAATAATATATATATAATAATATATAATATATAATATATATAATAATATATAATATATAATATATATAATAATATATAATATATAATATATATAATAATATATATAATAATAATATATATATAATATATACAGTAATAACCCTAATTCGCGGTCGGATTGTGTAGAAAGATGGACAATTTTGGGGAGAGCAGATGCGATTATTCGAGCCTTGCGGCTCGTTTTTATATTTACCGATTGTCGACAATTATAAAAGCGAGTCCATTTTTATGCGCAATCGGAGCGCGAATTAGGGAGAAATTACTGCGCCAGGGGTGCCCAAAGCGTAGAATAATCGACGCGAAATTATTCCTAGTCGCCCGCCTGCTTGATATTATCTATGTTTATTTCAAATTTTAACTTATTTTCGGCTTTAAATTACTGCTTTTTTAATGATCAAGCGTAGACTTATCGACGCGTAATTATTCCTAGTCGCCCGCCTGCTTGATATTATCTATGTTTACTTCAAATTTAAGCTTATTTTCGGCTTCAAATTACTGCTCTTTTTATGGTCACATTATGATTAACACAATACGTCGGCTATTATTTAAAAGAACAGGTCGTGCATAATGATCAAAAGTTTGGCCACCCCTGATATATATATATATATATATATATATACAGTGGTTTAATACGAGCATACATAGTGTAAATTGCGTTTCAGCTCGAACTCGATGGAACTTCGAACGCGTTTAACACCGAGCCAAGAATTAATAGCGTAAAAAATGAATAGCCTCGTAAAAGTAGGAAGAATCAAATTCGGTCGGAGTTCGTTAAGTTTTTCTTGTAAAACTGGCTCGAACAATGTAATTTATTCGAACAATTTCCGCGAACGTGTGTCTAAAGTTTGTTCGAACTATAAAATAAGAAAATCTGACGAACGTCTCGAAGCTCGTTACGCGGATTGTACTTTCGCGACTTATGGCTCGCTTCCGAAACTTTCGAGATAGCTATGAAAAATATCAAAGTGTCCAGATCGCCTTCGGATTACGGGAAAATCTGTGAAATTGTACAACAACTTGATGTACACAGGTTGTCCTAAAATTATAGTACCTCCGGGAAATTAGAGATTCCTGAGGTCATTCGAAGCAACTTTTTCCTTTACAAAAATGTTCTCCGAGCCTTCGTTCACGAGTTATTAACGAAAAACACTGACCAATGAGTGGCGAGCACTCGGCTGGCGCTACGCGGCCGAGCCACTGAGCGGAACCGGGCGTTGTCCGCTCGTTGGCTCAGCCGAGCGCGCGCTAGGCGAGCTCGCCTCTCATTGGTCAGTGTTTTTCGTTAATAACTCGTTAACGAAGCCTCGGAGAAAATTCTTGTAAAGGAAAAACTTGCTTCGAATGACCTCGGGAACCCCTCGCTTTCCGCAAGTACCTCAATTTTCCGACACCCTGTACAACAGGAGAACGATATAATAGAGAGGCCACAATTTGTCATCGTGGAAGGGTTGGGCGGATCCTGTTCCATCTCGTGAGAGCCAATGTCATCGGGATATCGCTTGCGAGCGCGCGATGTCACGGAAGCAACGATATACGGTTACGATGGCGGTGTGACGGTTTCCAGGATCTCGTATTGCTCGGCGGATGCCACCCACGACCACGTGTTCGCGTTCATCGCGACGAATTTGAACGAGACGATGGAGTGCCACGCGTTCCTCTGCCCGAAGAGAAAAATGGCGCAAACGGTGACGCTGACGGTGGCACAGGCGTTTAACACCGCTTACGAGGCTTGGCAGCTGTCCCAGGCCGATCCCAGGATCCATCACGCCCAGGATAAGAGTCCCTCGTTAAACGAAGACAAAACCGGTAGGTAAATTAATCTGCTCCTTCCGAGGGGCTGTCCCGCGGTCCAATTTTTCGCCACGGCCCACCAATCAATTAGACGCGTCCTTTCTCGCTGCCTCGATCCGAGGGTTCTTTTTCCGAGAACTTGGGAATACGGCTAAATTCTCCCTAATTTTCCATCAGCTTGTGAACAATAATAGACGATTTCGGAAGAGCAGGTACGACTATTTGAGCGTTGCAGATTTTTATAATCGTTGACAATCGGCGATTATAAAAGTGAACCGCGAGGCTCGAATAATAGCGACTTCTCTTCCCAAATTGTCCATTTTTGTGCAGAATTTAAGCGTCAATTGGGGAGAATTTCCTACCTTCGTTCACTTTACGCGTTGATTTCCATAAACTTATTTTTTACAATATCCCATTTTTGGGGGGGACACCTTTCCAAATTGTTTCCTTTTAAAAACTGCAACTTCTAACTAAAATACAGGCATTAGAATAATGAGAACATACCACGTGCTCCGCGAAAGTATTCAGAATTCCCGATATTTTGTTTTAAATCATTTAAATCATTGAACAATTAAATCATTCTTGAAACTGATAACCACGATTTAATTTTTTTATTTGTATTTTTGAATTGCTTCGCGTAATGGATCGAAAGAATAAAGTATATCCCCGTCAAAATTCGCCTTCGTTGAGAAACCGCAGCGATGCCTACGTTTAGGCATAAAAATGGACAATTTGGGAAGAGGTGGTACGATTATTCGAGCCTCGGAGCTCATTCTTATAATTAGTGATTGTCAACAATTATAAAAATGTAGTGCAATATATATAATAATATACGAATAATCGCATCTCCTCGTCCCAAATTGTCCATTATTGTTTATAAGCTGAATACAATAATGTCTCTCTAATTGACGCCCAGATTGTCCACAAAAGTGGAAAATTTGGGAAGAGGAGATACGATTGTTCGAGCCTTGCGGTTCATTTTTATTGCCACGATTTGTCAACGACTATAAGAACGAGCTGCAACGCTCGAACAATCGTATCTCCTCTTCCCAAATTGTCCATTTTTGTAAGCAGTCCGAGCGTCAGTTAGGGAGACATTACTGTAGACCAGGGGTGTCAAACTCAAAAGCTAACTTGGGCCAAATAAACAATGCTTAACTTCAGGTGGGCCCAAAAAAAATCAATATTCATAGTAACAAATATTTTTATTTTGACTACTACATTGTAATAAACATATATAAAGTTAAATTATTGTTTACGTCCTGATACTTGACATCTCTTCTCTGATACTATCTTTCCTATTTCGGGAGAAATTTTATTGGCCGAGACTACTTTCAAAATTTCTAATTCACATTTCTATTTTATTTTTACTTTGCGTCGGATATATTGACTGGGCCGCAAAAATGTTCATCTCGGGCACCATCATCTTTGACACCCCTGCTGTAGACCGAGGAACCAGCTTCGTCGGATCGGTTTGATCGCGGCCGCTGTTACATTTCATTGGAACGATCGATCGTACGAAATCGGCGGAGCATTGTCAAGACAATTAGATTTCCCCGTTAAACTCCCGGAGCAGACGATTCTCCGGGTCCCGAGTCGCGCCGTCTGATCCATCCTAAAGGCGCATCGCCGGGGCGCGAGCGGTATATATACATATATACGGTGCAGCGTTCGTGCACTTAACTCGCCGAGAGCGAGGATATTGCGGAAAGCTACGGGTTATGAGTGCGCCCAGGAAATTGTCCGGTAATATTGAACTTCATGCAGCCGGAGCCGGCAACATTACGGCGAAAGTAGGACAATTACAGTTCCTGCTGGCTCCCTTCGTCCGCGCAGACACTTACGAGCACATTTTCGCCCCGAAACGGGATTAGCGACGATTCACGCCGGCCGTCTGGTTCTACCAGCTGGCCGACGACGAGCCGTGGAAAAATCTATGTCGCGACAAATTCGGCTCGTTTCGCGCGGCATCGCCGCCGCCGAAAGATTTAACCCGGTCGTTTCCGCCGTCGCCGCGTTCCGACGAATCAATCTACGGGATCCGGCCGCGTCCGCGGCCGTTGTTCTCCGCGCGCGGCTTGCGGATAAATAACTGAGCACGCGCGTCGATAAATAATGCCGCGGTGCTTCACGGTCTCGCGCGGAACAAGAGCGATCCAGCAAATTAACGGGCTGCCGCGCGCGGATCGGCGACGGTTGTACGCGCGCGGCCTGTTCGAGCCGCTCGTTTTCCACTTTATTCGGCCGAACCTGTTCGCCGAACTTCCAAGGAAAATTCACCGTTGTTGCGGACTCGCGTTTCCCGCACGCCGCATTAACCGACCAGAGTGTTCTCGTCGTTTCGTTTCAGTGCCGGCAGGGACATCGTGCAACGCAGAGTCGTTGAATTGCGAATTTTATGCGAACGCGAATTGTTGCGAATTCAAATCGCGGGGAGATTCGACGAACGAAAAAGATAGCTTCTGTTTTAGCGCAATCGAGATTGTTTTCGTCTGTAATGGAATTAGTTTCTGTTTTCTTCTTTGCAAATAATGACGGAATATTAAATGAACCTCTCTTTCATTTCAACACAGCGAAACACGATTATTTATCGAGGATCTTGTTATTAGATGTGTATTTGTCGTACAGCGGAACATTGAATATACAGAGTGTTCCAGAAATGTTTCGCAACCGGGAAATAAGGGTTCCTGAGGTCATTCGAAGCAACTTTTTCCTTTACAAAATTTTTCTACGATGCTTCGTTCACGAGTTATTAACGAGAAACACTGACCAATAAGAGGTCAGCTCGCCTGGCGCATGGCGGCTCAGTCAACGAGCGCGCGAAGCCCAGCTCCGCCCATTGGCTCGGCCGAGAGCGCGTGTCAGAAGAGCTCGCCTCCCATTGGTCACCGTTTTTCCTTAATAACTCGCAAACGAAGCTGCGGATTGCATTTTCGCAAAGGAAAATGTTACTTGAAATGACCTGAGGAACCTTTATTCCCGGATTGCGACACATTTCTTCAGAATTTTCTTTGAGATTGACATCTTTACACCCTGTATTCACCAAGAAGTAATGTTCTCGAATTATCAGTCTTTAGTAAAAATTCCAATAAAATGTTCAGCTTCATTGTCACACGATAGAACGCATCCCGAGGAGATCGCATTCTCTCTCGTTCCGAATTTCGACGAGGACCTGCAGAGGACCTATCGCGGATTTGGCTCCCTCTGAGCATGACTCAGTAGAACCTGTACCAAAGGAGATCGCATTTCCCCCCTTGTTCCCCCTTTTTATCCGTTACGCTAGGACCTCGCGGCGCGATTTACAAGCGGAACGAGGACGGAAAAGCGGAGAATCGGTTTCCGAGGCCGGCCGGTTCACGAATTCCGACACTTTGCAGAGGACGAGGAGGAGGAGAAGAAGAAGAAGAAGAAGCCGCAGCAGCAGCAGCAGCAGAAGGACGAGGAGGACGCGAAGCCCGCGGGAAAGGTCGGCGAGGAGGGGAAGCGGGGCGATCAGCGCGGCACGGCGAACGGTTCGCAGAAGAATCTGCTGATCGACTTGTCGAACGACGGGAAACCGACGGGGAACTCGTGGGTGAGCGATCGAACGTGGATCAGCTTGGCGATCCGGTGAATGTTTTCTCGGTATTTCCGTGAGTGTTCGCGAGACGCCGGTTTTCAGGTGTGCTTCGAGGAGGAAGGCGAGCACGGCCGGGCCCCGAAGAAGGCCGCGGGGGCCGCCGGCATCCCGATGACCACGCTGAGACACGCGGGCGCCGCGGCGTCGCACCACGTCGTCCCGAGGCCGGCGACGGCCTTCAAAATGCAGAACGCCTGGGGCGAATCGAGGTCGGTGGACCTGATGTGCTCGTAGCAGGCGTAGCCCTCGGCCGATAGCTTCCGGGACGTGCCATTGATCACCGGCCTCTGGAAGCATCTGTCCAACAGCGGCCAGCCGAAGAAGCTCAGCCAGTAGATCAATCGTCGTCGCCGGCGAGCGCGTCGTCGAGCCCGCGTCCCCGGACATTCCGTCGAGCCTGGGCCGGCCGAAGGTCGACCCTCGGGTCAGGGGTCGTGCCGATCGTTCCGCGAGATGGTTCCGTCTTCTTCCGCGAACGGAACCTCGCCGAATACGCTCGGCGATTGCGCGACGTCAACGTACGGTTGGTCGTCGAACGAGCGTCGCAGTCTCGTCGCAAACGGCGGGAGTCGGTAGAACGTGATCTGTTTCCGGTGACCGCGGTTGACCTTCGGCGACCTCGCACGATCCAGCAGATTTTTGGAGAACGGAGTTGTCGCGCGGCAACAGCGAGATCGCGGCTCCTCGAAAGCGTCGATCGAGAGTGACGCCTCGAGCAAAATGTACGCGCGTCCGGCGATCTTCTCGACGCGTGTCCTGTCCTCGGAAAGAAGTAAAGAGAGAGAAAAGAAACGGTCGAGCAGTGCTCGAGAGGACCGATCGAGTCGAAGAGACACGGCGAGGGGGGAGGGAGGGAGATCGAAAGAAAGAGAGAAAGAGAAAGAGAGAGAGAGAGAGGGAAGGCTTCGGTCCACGACCAGGAAGTGGGAACAATTTTCACAAACTATACCTTTTGTATACCGCGTGTATCCGTGCCAATTCTTTCACACATATCGTGCACAGGCTCGTACTGCTATATACCATGTACGCGCAATTACAAAACCTTCTTACTCCTTTAACGAGATCCAGAAACGGGTTTCCTTTTCGGACGAATTTCTTCGTACGTCGGATATAGAGAACGGGAGAAACAAAAAGGAAAAAAAAGAACGACGCCGGGTCGAACGGGGCGAGAGCATGATCTCGCGGAACTTTTACGAGCACCTTCTCTCCGTTGCGAAATAGCTGGACTATTTTTTTCGGTCGGGCTCGGCGTCGAAACGCGATCTTCGATTCGGTCGCCGACGCGGAATGCGCCCCGCCGATTGCAAAGTAATTTTCTCCCGGAAATGTTCGGGCCTCGGAATCGAAACCGGCAGATACGAGAATACTGTGCGGTCAACGTTCACGCGAATGCATAGTGATGCTAGAATAAAAAGGATGACTTAGCTGTTTTTAATTGTAACTTTTTTGACACTATTTGGAGGCAATTCGGAGGCCACGTGACGCGATTCGGAGGCAATTCGGAGGCCACGTGACGCGATTCGGAGGCAATTCGAAGGCTATTCGAAGGTATTTCGAAGCCAATTCGAAGATAATTCGAAAGCAATTCGGAGACAATTCGAAGGCAATTCGAAAGCAATTCAAAAGCAATTCGAAAGCAATTCAAAAGCAATTCAAAGGCAATTCAAAGATAATTCGAAGGCAATTCGAAGGCAATTCAAAAGCAATTCAAAGGCAATTCAAAGATAATTCGAAGGTATTTCGAAGGCAATTCGAAGATAATTCGAAAGCAATTCAAAGGCAATTCGAAGATAATTCGAAGGCAATTCAAAAGCAATTCAAAGGCAATTCGACGATAATTCGAAGGCAATTCGAAGGCAATTCGAAGGTGTTTCAAAAGCAATTCGATGATAATTCGAAGGCAATTCGAAAGCCACGCGCCGCGATTCCACGAAGACCTTCAACACGGTTTCCTCACCGAAGTTTTAGCGAAGTTATTTCTACTGAAACGTCGACCCTTAACATCGACGTAGCAATAAATTACACAGACGTAGGACTAGACGACCACCGAAAAATTCGCAGCATCCCGAAAGTTTGACATTTCCAGGAGAAATTACTGTACTTGCATTTCGACTCCTAGAACGTACACTGTGAAATCGGATCGAGAATCGCGTTTGCCTCGAAATCTTCGAACAGCGTAATCATGCTCGTTAAACGATTACCCGCTCGACGGGTTACAATCCTTATCGGGCATATGGTCGCGCTTCTCTCCTAACATTACACGTTAGGCCCGAATGTCCGACGTCTCCGATAAGGGTTGATACGCTGCTTGCCGTGCGATCATTTTTACGGGTCGATCGCGGTGATCGCGCGCGCGTTCCGTTCCTCCTCCTCCTTCCTCCTCCTCTTAGGATAACGATCGGACCCGAAGAAACGGAATCCGCGCGCGTAACGCGAAAGATCGTCCGCGAATCGACGACGTAGAATAAGTGCTGGATATTAGAGAAATGTGTTGATGTACCGTGTAACACGCTGCGAGGACGTGTACCCATTTAGCCGTAGTGTGCTGTTCGTCGTCGAGCCTTTTTCAACACATAAATCACCCCGAAGAAAAATGAGTTTCTGTCGCGCGTCGTACACGCGGCTCCGGTATCACGAACCCTTGGAACGTTCGATCGGCGCGTTTTAGGCGGAATTGTAGGGCCGCCGTCGTTGGGCGCGGCGACTATCGCGCGATATCGTTACGTTTGTTTATATTGCTGTTATCGCGGTACTCGCAGTTTGTTCGTTGTTTGCGATCTGTTTCCCTTATTACGCGCGAGGGTGCGATCACGCGTGCGTGCGTCATCTCGGATTGAACGAGCTCGGCGGCCGCTGAATTCTCGTCGAACAGTCGGGAACTTGCGAGATTCCGCCGACCGCAACACCGGAGCACGGTATAAATTCTTCCCAATTCGCGCTCGGACTGCGCACAAAAATGGACAATTCGGGAAGAATGATCTCCTATTATTCGAGTCACGCGGCTCGTTTTTATAGTTACTCATTGTCAACAGCTATGAGAACGATTTTTGGTTTGTTCGCGAGTCGAGAGACAATTTGAGCGAATTTACTGTAATAGAAATATTTAAAAAAAGGCATCACAGTTGTCTGGCAGACCAGTTTTGCTATTTTTTTAAAAAAGATTCCAGTTATTTGGTGCACAAGCTTTAATAAAGAATTTAATTTAATTTAATAAAAATTAGATAAATCTCGAACAATCGCCTCGAATGTTTCCACTTCCCAAATCGTCCATTTTTGTTTACAAACTGTTTACAACAATCGGGGAGAATTTACCGTATTTCCGTTGGTATCCTGATAGAGGGTAGGCATTCGAAACGGAATGCTGTAACATTATTAGCGTGCTAATAACACTCGACGCTCCGTAATACACTCCGTTACGTTGAAGAAGAAAAAAAGAAAAAAAAAAGAAAAAGAAAAAACTGAAGTTCACGTTAATTTCGGTCCTCTGTACGATCTACGGCCACGAGGATGCAGCGAAGACGGTGTCTGATCGACGCGTCTAACATTTGTCACGAATCGACGATAATTTTGTATAATCCATCCACGATCGGTGTAACGCATTTCTACAAAAAAATCGAAATATGCATTGTCATCCTGTATCGCCTATGTGTTAGAACGTAAGAAAATACACGTCTCTGCGTATCTAGAACTGCGTGTGTTCTGTCGCTTGATTCCCGTGCCGCGGCCCCGAGCGACGGGGCCACGATGTGACGCCGCGGACGTAAACATATTCGCGAATTAGCTATGCACGGTATACCCTATTATTGATTTTATACGGCACGGGCGTGCTTCCGTAGCTCCCCGAGCGCTTTAAAGATGGCGACGGCTATCGGCTCCGTACCGGAGTCGGTCTCCCCGGCGAACGAGATCTTTCCATTCCTCGCCTCCAACCGAATCCCACCGTCCACTTTCGTCTTTGCTCGACCGCGACTCGGGACGAGCTAATATTTTTCGCATTCTCGGACCTGTAAAATGTAACGGTGACAATGATATTCGCAGCGGTGATAACGGTAATAATTCTATTCGCAAAGAGCACCCATGCAATTTTGGGTGTCGCGTCTCGTTAGCCCTATTGTCATTTCAAGAACGCTTCAGAACCAGTTCCGAACGTGAAAGTTATCCAGGGAACGGCGGGCTCTGCGGAAGGGTAGGTTCTAGTGGATTGAAAGTGTCTAGGGACGGGTCTAGGAGCGACGAGGATCCGGGGAGGGGAGGGGGAAAGGCGGAGGTAGTGTGAGAAAGTACGACGTCGGAAAGGTAGGAGGATGATCATCCAAATGGTCTTCCAATGTTCGCCACAACATACCGAGTCCTTCAGAAAAACCTGCGTCTCCAACATGCAAGAAAAGTTTACCTATTGTAATAAATAAAAAGTACAATGTTCAACGATCTGACAAGAATGATCCGCCCTAGACAATTTAAAACGGCGCCATTTGCGACAAGTGGCGCCGCTTGCGACGAAATTTCGAACCAGAGTCTCGAAAGAACCGTACAACGTTCGAGCACGTAGCGAGGAAACGTTCAAACTGTTCGTCGAAATTATTCGCGGATGATAGTTTTGCACTTTAGAATTTTGCCATAGACGACGCCACTGGGTTAAACTCGCGAAAATCTGCAAGCAGCGCCACTGCGCACGGCGGCGAAACGCTGAAACTGGTAAACAGAATTACTGGCCGCGGCTACTCTGAGGAACGACAAATGGCGCCGTCACGCGTTTCCAAAGGATAATTTATGATATCGGTAAGTTTGGCTAACGGTTCGCGCGTTTTCTCAATATGTGTTTTGGTTTCGAATTTTTTGAGAAACTCATACCTATAGATTTATAAGTGTTGTTACAATATACGCGTCGTATGAATTTACGGCTTCCAAATTTCAAAATCATAAAACGTGTTCGTGACATAAATGAAGTATATAGAATACTCGATTCACATTAAGAAGCTTAAATTTCTGAAATATTGATAACAATAAGCACACCACGAGGATGATAATGGGACTTCTGAAGTTCCATTTTCGACGAAATAATTCATCGGGTGTCAGGTCTATTGCGCAGTGGTTTTAACCTAATTTATAACTGAAATTGTCTTCAATGCTGAAAGCGTTAAAAATAAAAAAAAGTGCGCCTGTTAAATCTTCCTTTAACTGAGCCGTTTATTTTGAAAGTGGCATAAGTCACTTTACCGTAATGAAAAGTGGTGATTTTTTAATGTTTATACGAAATTATTTATACTGAGGAAAATATCAGTATCCTAAGATAACAAATACAAGTAAATCTCGAAAGTCAGCATCCATATTTTTAAACGTGTTAAAACGCAAACCCTTAAATATATCGACTTAAAATCAAAGTGACTTATGCCACTTTCAAAATAAACGGCTCAATTAGCTTCGCGATAGCGATTAACCTTTTGCGGACGAGTGTCGGCAAATAGCCGCCTAAGTCTTTTTACCGTTTTTCATTATTACTTTATTAATTATTAATATAAATTTATTAATTTAACCGCAGGTTTAGAACGAATTTCAGTTTGTCGAGTCAGTCTTTCAGCGTCACTATCTTGACATAACCTTGGCATAACCAGCAAAGTTTTCCACATATTTTATATTATATATTATATTATATATATTCTATATATTATTATATAAATATAATATAATATATAATATATTATTATATTTTACATTATATATATTATATTAATAATATCCAATACCTGTCGTCCACAGCGACGCTCGCCCGTCGATCAGCTTCGTCCGCAAAGTGTCAATCCTATTCATATCTTTCCGAACACCGTAGGAGGGTTAACAGAACCGGCATACCGCGAGCGCGGCTCGACAGGTGGCGCTGGCGGTACCTCCTCACCCTACACGTGAGCCGCCGTGGCGCTCTCTCGAGATGAAAAGTTACCAGTGCTGCCGTGCGCGGACGCTGTCATCCGTGTGTCAATCGTAGCAACGTTTTCTCGAGGATGTCCGCGGCGGAGATTATCAGGACCGGAGAGCCGCGGTTTTCCCGCTGTCTTGACACCGACACCGTCCCGGGATCGTCGTGCGGCCGCGTGAATTGCTCGTCGACGGACAGCGGTTACGTCACACCGATTCCGCGGCACGGCGTGTTATCCGCGATTCCTCGCGACGTCTGTTTTACCGTGCGATCGTGTTCACGGGCGCGAGCAGAGAGAGCGTGCTCCTGCAAACGGCGGTGCTTGTAGAGCGGAGCGAGCCTTTCGGTGCTCCCTCGGATGTTCTCGACGAGATATCGACACGAAAGCATGCTTGTCTCCGGTTGTTTACCTCGTCGCGAGCTACGCAGGGACTAGAGGCTGCACGGTCGACGGGCTGTGCGCGGAACAACCTCGGGATTCGGGTGTGCTGTGCGGTAACAGAACAGGCGGACGGACCGCTGCCCGTCGAGCTGCTGTGGTGCCGGAGGCTGACGCCGAGCCGAGACGATTTAAGAGAGGCTGGAAACACCGTGGAAGCTGGGGCCTTGGCCAGTGCGTGTTGTCGAGTCCATCCGCGAGCGGCAGGAGCCGCAGGACCTCGTCGGAGATGCGGCCCTCGTCCACCAGCGACCCGGTAAGTGGCTCGACAGCTACGCAGAAACGGAACAGCCTCGAGATAGGTCAGTGTTTGACGCGCGGTTCGATCCGCGCCGCATCTTTCCCTTGTATTTTCGCCAGTGACGTGCCCCCCTCCCCGCGTAACAGTTGTCCGCGGGCCGCGATCTCGCCGAAACGATGACGTTTGAATTACGTTAAGCGGGAACCGCGGTACGCCTCGTGGCACCGCAGGACTACTCGGGACGCGTTAGATTTTCCGTTCCGGCGGCATACGAACGTTCTCCCCGTGCGGAATTTCGATTGATCCGGTCCTCGGGGATTAACCTTACCGATCTCCGGTGGCCGGTCGAACGCCCACGCGACCGCTCACTTTCGAAAAGTCGTCGCTCGATCGGTCGGCGCGACCCGCGCGCTCGCTGAAGGCTTAACCCCTCAACGTGCACGCTCGAGTTAACTCGAGCGCGCTAAACTGGCCGAACTGTGCACACTCGAGATAATTCGAGCGGCGTTGTACTTTATGTTGCTATAATTGTTCACGCTCGAATGCAATCGAGAATTGAAAATAACAATGTGAAAGCAAAAAAAGAACAATCGTTTTATTGATATTTATCATTTACATGGGATTGTAAGCTGTAACACTTATTTATTCAAGTATAAGATATATCCCTTTTCTACTTATCGCTTATGACTTATCTCTTCCTCGTGAGCCGCTTTCCGATAGCGTATTCATATTCAGATACTGATTCGATCAGTTTTCAATGTATATTTTACTAAAATATAATGTAAAATAAAATATAATAATAATAATGATAGTAATAATAATAATAACAATAATAATAATAGTAATATTCTGAAAATTAGGATTGCAATAAAAATTTTGATTATTTTTGTATTTTTGTAATTTTCTTGCCAAGACAACGTTCTAAATTGTGTTTTTTTACATTAAAAAAAATTGATTTTTTTTGGCCGGCCTTTTTAAAAAAAAACTGTGCATTAAGGGGTTAATTGCGATCCCGCCGATTTTTTAACGTCGATGGATGTTCGATGGATTTTCAAACTGCCGCGACGAAGGATTTTTTCTTTATCGGTGGGTGTTTCTCGATGGAGCAACGAGAATAAGTCAACGAGTCCGGTAGGATATACAGAGTGCCGAAACACTCGGCTCGCGGAGGAACCACTTCCATGCATTAGGAATTAAACCGGTCGAGATTTAACGCTTTTCTCCATTCTGCGCGATTGAGAACCCGCGGCGGAAACGAGGAACCGCCGCTGGTTCCAACAACGAAAACAGGCGTCTAGTTTTCTAGGATACCCGGGCTTAATCGGGACCGCGGCAAAGAGCCGCTGGAAGAATTTTTCTTGACCCGCGCTAAAGGAATCCAAGGGTTGTTCGAACTCTAAACCGATCGGAAGAGCACCAACACTCGTGCAGCGGGACTGGGATTCGTTTGGAACCGCTGTGTAGATATTGTTACTTGAACGTTCAGTTTCTGACAATTAATCTAGATTTTCGCGTGTTTTAATTAGCCGGTTTCTTCGGACCGCAAAGTCTTTTTAACGCTACCATAATATAGGGTGTCCCGAAAATGTCTCGCAATCCGGAAATGGGAGGTTCCTGAGGTCATTTGAAGCAACTTTTTCCTTTGCGAAAATGTTCTCCGAGGCTTCGTTTACGAGATATTAACGAAAAACACTGACCAATAAGAGGCGAGCTCGGCTGGCGCGCGGCGGCCCAGCCAACGAGTGCGCGGAGCCCAGTTCCGCTCATTGGCTCGGCCGTCTTGCGCCAAATGATCTCGCCTCTGATTGGTCACTGTTTTTCGTTAATAACTCGTAAACGAAGCCGCGGATCGCATTTTCGCTAAGGAAAAAGTTGCTTCAAATCACCTCAGGAATCCTCTACTTTCGGATTGCGAGACATTTTTGGGACACCTTGTATGTATATTTTTGGAAGGGGTTGCCAGCCGAAGGGGATCGCGAATGTATTGGTCAGACCGCAGGTTCGGACTTGCTTCTCCGACAAGGTTTAATACCGCTGTGCGCGATTTAAATAGCCATCGGAGCCGCGCGGTTTACGGAAAAGTTTACTTAATCAATTTGTTGTTCCTGCGGTCCAATAACTTGAATGGAAAATAGTTTAAGAGAGGGCTGCCAGGCTAAGGAGATTGGGAGCGTATAGATCAGACCGCAGGTTTGGACTCCTCGCGCTGATTTTGAATGCCGCGGAACGTTTGATACATTTTTGTTGGTTTATGGGTTAGGTACACGTGTTACACGAAAAATTTCTTAATTAATTTTTGCGATCGTGAGTTATGCATGATCCAACGACTCGAACAGATAAATATTTTGACACTGGATCCACGGAGAACTTACAGCAATTAGCTTGAATAATAGATACAAACGAATTGAATCGCATCAAATTTATTAAGAATAATTATATCGTTATGGTGAAGTATATATTTCATTTTTTTAATGTCCAACAATTATATTTTGAAAATGTTAAATGATAAACCGAGACTGGATATCTTATTATAGAAAAAAGGGAGAATAGAAAAAAATCCTATTATAGAAACGATTTATTCAAATTAAATAATCTGGTCTAGGAAACTGCTATATTTATAAATTGCCCTCGAAAGCGTTCCTACGATCTCGATAATTGGCAGTTCTACTGTTAAGAAAGTTGCGGCCAATCTACTTTTTTTGATCAAGAAACCGCTTCCTGTTGCACGATCTAGTAACTTCGGCAAAAAAGTGTTCTGAAAAGGGGATCTACGATCCAAACGAGACGGGAACGTTGACTTCACGGTATTCTTTCGAACGTCCTCGTTAATTGATCTTCCCTTTCATCTAATCTATCGTGATTATCAAATGTTGCAAATGCAATGTCTCGAGCCTCGCAAGGTGAACGCGTTCACTTACAGCTACGGCGTACACCACACCATAGAATAGGAAATAATTACGCATCTGTTGCATATTTATTAATCGCGTATTACAAGGGGCTGCTATCGTCGGTTTTATCTTTCGTTTAACACTGGCACCGCTGGCCAAATCTCCTGTTTCAGATCTCTCGTTTTACAATGATCGAAAGTCATCTTTCAGCAGAAATCCTTAAATATTGGGTCGGCAACTAAGTAATTGCCGATTTGTTCGATGAAATAAAAAATATTTTTTTACTTGGAATGAAGTTTAATCTTCGATGTATTTTCCATTTTGTTCGATGACCTTTTGCCATCTCTCCGACAACTTGAAAATTCCACGCTCGTAGAAAGTCTGATCCTTTTCGGCCAAAAACTGAGTTAAGTGAGATTTTACAGCGTCATCGTCGTTAAAAGTTTTACCACGAAGGGAGTTGTCCAGGGATCGAAATAAGTGGTAATCCGATGGCGCGAGATCGGGGCTATATGGCGGGTGTAACATCAATTCCCAACCAATATCCATCAATTTTTGCCGAGTGGACAAAGACGTGTGCGGCCTAGCATTGTCCTGCTGGAAAATGACACCTTTACGATTGACCAATTCTGGTCGCTTTTCCTTGACCGCCGCGTTCAATTTGTCCAGTTGCTAACATTCACGGATAATAAAAAATAACGTAATAATAATAACAATAATTTTATAATATAACATTTACGGATATCATAAAAATGGGAGTGAGAGACATCTGTAACTGAAATCGGCAATTACACTTAGTTGCCAACCCAATATATCTCTTTATTCGAGCATTCATTATTCTAAGAATTCCGAGTCATTTAAATGAATTCAGTTCCATAAATTTTAGAAGTCGACGCGTACTAGCCACTTTTAGATCTCGCTGAGACTTTTAGATCTACCCTTGAGATCTACACTCGAGATCTACACTCGAGATCCACACTTTTAGATCCCTAGCGTCAACGCTAAATCTACCGAGCCATAAAATTGACTAACACGCGTTGCTTTCCTTCAGAATAAAATCACTCGATTTATCGAAACCTTGCGCCGTTTTAACACTATGCCACCATGGTGGCACCACGCTGGCGAAATAATAATAATAGTTTTCGCCCACGGTGAAATTTTTCAAATAAAATTCTCGCCATTAAGAACGTCCATTTAACCTTTTAGGTACGGCTGAATTCTGCGCGAGGCTATTTCTCTGGACGGCAGAGTCTGATATGTATTGTACAGAGTGTCTGTATATTGTTAAGATACAGTTATATTCTTAAGATAAGTCTGTATATTGTAAATCAATGTGAAGACAAAAGAAGTGTGAAGCAATGCATACGAAGACGATTATTTGATTCAAGCGATGACCGAGTGAGCTACTAGATTAAGCCACTATAGTGATGCGTCGTTCAGAGAGATGACATCCGCGAAAGCCACTATAGTGGCGCGTCATTCCTAGAACGTTAACACGTTCCGTGCCGAGCTTTTTTTACTCGAATCTTCACACTTTGATATTTTACTAAAACTTGATGTATTACGTGCAATTATTAATTCTCGTACACATAACAACGTAACAAAAACTTATCAACGCCCATTCTTGCGGTGAAAATTGATTCTTCGGTTCTAAATTTCTTGTAAACAATTTGTTCAGTTCGCTAAGTAAACATGCAAGTGTGTACCATCGATGGTACACGTGGCACGGAACGTGTTAAGGGACTGTTCGTCAGACTCCTCTGCCCGGCGAAGGAAGAAAAATTCGAGGCTCGTCGAACGCGCGCGAACGTGCGAACGCCGAGGTTCCTCGGGTTCCCGGCACTTTAAACCGTGCCGGTGAAAAATAATGGGAAGCTAAGACCGACCCAAATGCGCGTCGGCGCGCGTTTCATCCGCGCGGAGATGGAAAGCGTTCGAGCAACGCCGCTGCCCGATGGTTTTTCATTTTCCATCCGGGATTTCGATTTCCCGGCCAGTTCGATGTCCCCGATCGCGTCGGTGTTTCCGCCGGTTATCGCCGAAACGGTGCACCGACCCGTTCGCAGAGGCAGATAGATGGATAGATCGCGTTCAGGATTTATCAGCGTGCCGGGTGTTGCGCAAGAA